CTTGCATATCATTGCTCTTTTGTTGATTTTGATTGCTTCTATTGTCTTCATTTGTAAGTTGCTTTGGATAAAAAAAAAAGTGACTAAGTATTGATAGTTGTGTAAATAATGTCATACTAACAGCTGTCTAATTTTTGGTTGATTGTAATCCATTACATACCTTTCTATCAAAGTTATCTAATATTATCAAGCTGAATTTGTTCTGACACAGTTTAACTCTGAGTTCTTGTTATATTTTATTACCATTTTCTAAACTGTGTGTATATTTTGATTGCTATGTGCAGTTTTTTTTATAGGTGGATGGACATTCTCATTGTAGATAAGATTTAATTGGACAAAAACCTGTAGTCTGGATTATTCATTAGAATCTTTAAATTTTATTAGAGAAATGCCAACATCTGCCAAAGACTCATTTTCACAAATGTTAGAAGTATGCTAGAATGTAGACAGACATGGACTACCACAAAAATGTAATTGTTAACCTGTTTGTAATTTCGGGAGACTTTATTCTGACTCTTTACCTGGATATGGATCACACTTTTGTCTGAATTATTTCTGGTTCAGGTGATTGGCGCTCTGAACGGGCCTCTTCTGTGTACTTCCTGGGTGACATCATAAACATAGAAGCCTCAGTTCATCTGGGTCATCACGTTAACCTCAGTGTATATTTTGAGAGCTGTGTTGCCACAGTGACCCCAGATATTACGTCTGTACCCAGATACATGTTTATTGAAATTCATGGGTGGGTACATTCATCATGTTTTTCAGAGTTAATCAGAGTTTTGTGCAGCAAGCACCACTCACTCAAATGAAAAATTATTTGGCTAATCACCAAGTATATTTGTGTGTTGTTTTTCCCCCTCCCTCATTAGTTGTTTGATGGATGGACAGATAACAGGCTCAAAGTCTCGTTTCCTTCCCAGAATCCAGAATGAAAAACTCCAACTACAACTGGATGCTTTCAAATTCCACCAAGAGACAAAGCCAGAGGTGTATATAGTGTATTCCAATGGAAACATGTTCTCAGGCCCAAAATGCCATGAAATAGCCTGTGAAGATATGGCAATAAACCTAAATTAAACAAACTCAGGCCCAAAAAAATAACATGGTGATGGAGGGTTTATATTTGCCTAGGTTAATAATATTGGAGGAAATTCGCCTAACTCTCGCATAGGGATGCAGCGTTTAACCGGTTTCACAATTAACCGCGCTTTAAAATGTCACGGTTAATTAATCGTAAAGGATCCACTACACCGAGTGTTTCTGTTGCACAGAACGGAACAGTTGCAACTTGCGCTAAAACGAAAACAAAGTTACACTAGCGGTGCGCCAACTTAAAATGCTGTGCTTATCAGAGACACGGAGGCTATAGGTGGATGGACATTCTCATTGTAGATAAGATTTAATTGGACAAAAACCTGTAGTCTGGATTATTCATTAGAATCTTTAAATTTTATTAGAGAAATGCCA